AGGCAAAGCATTCTGCCAAGATCACTCTGTTCTAGGGAGACATGGCTCTTGGCAAAGAATAGATATGCATCCAAAGCATATCTTATGTCTGGGAGGAAGAAAGGGGAAAAAATTTTAAAAAGTAATTATTTTTGAGCTCTGTGTATTGATGGGCATTTTCTTCTATATGTTTCTAGGGAAGGCTCTGACTCATAATTTCAATTGCTTAGTCATAACTGTTAATAACTTTAATAAATTGCTGTTACCAGACAGCCAGATTTTACTCAGTCATTGCTCTAGAAGGTGGCTGGAACAGATGCTGCAGCTGATCAATGCAATAGCATGGGTAGATTGTTTGTTAGTGATATTTCAGTATTACATGCTGATGAAAACTCTGGTGCCAGGCATTGTCTCAGGCCTCAGCCTATCCATTCATGTGTTACCTGCAGTGGTGAAGAAGACAGGTGCTCACAAAGCCTCCCTTATGCTGGTCAGACAGCAAAGTGCAATCTGCCTGTTTCTGCTGCAGTCAGAATAAAGGAAGTTATTTAACAGGGTGACAGCTCTTTTTGTCCTGTTTTGAAGGTTTTCTTTCTTTACAGAAAAACAGATAATCTAGGAATAATGAAAGAGAGAGCACTTAGGTACATACACTGAAGCAAGTAAGCTGTTTGTTCCTGAGGCAGTAATACCTAGATGTATTATGGATCTCTTAGGATGATATCTTCTCCAGGAGGATCTTATTAGGCTGCTTGTCACAAAAAGATTTTTTTCATACCAGATTTTGTGAAACAGGAAGAAAAGACAGTTCCAAGATTTCAAATCATCCATTGATATGAAAAGATATTGATCCAGTAAAGAAAAAAGGCTTTAGTTTCTAGCTTTTAGAAATTACAGTGTTTTCACTGTGGCACTAAAAAAGAGAAAGTTAGAGTCTGTGTTCAGCATATTATATGAATGGCCACTAGGTCTAATATGCTTTGATAAACACTTTAGAAACATTAATTGATGTTACTTAATGTTAATGAATTAATAATGACACTGGGGTTTCGGGAGGTGCTGCAGTGTGAAAATGCCATTCTGCAATCTCTTTGGGCAGTAATATGCAGAGAAATTAATCTCAAAGGGAGACCCATTTCTTGGCACTGCTAGCACTTTCCTTTTCGGTAGATAAATGGTCAGCTGTGTTGTTATCTAGCCTAATGTCATCCTCCCCTGAGAGCAGCACAGTCGTTCAGGGTCCTTGATGATGTCCCCAAGTCGATTGTTTTTAGTGTGTGATTTGTCAGCACACGTGTCACTCTGCCCTGGCTCTCCTGGTGACACCCAGGGTTCTGCCATGGCTCACACACCAGACCCAGCAGATGCTGTGGAATTGGAAAGGAACTTTCCCCTTTTTAAGGTACTGGTTCAGGCAGCTTAGAAAGGAGAGAATGCTCAATTCCGAGCAGCATTAATCCTCTGCCCAGGGAAGTGCCCAGCTCCCGCCTGCACCCTTGCAATTCAGTCTGTCACACCCTTGGGTTTCCCAATGTGAATTTGATGCAGTTTTCTCTTAGCAGACTGGTGTGTGCTGGCAGGGAACAAAACCTCAGCAGCTCTCACCCAAGTCAAATTCCCTTAAAAACTGGATAGGCTGCTGTGCTGCTCTCTGGGGGCTCTCTGTGCCTGTGGCACATGCTGAGGGAGGTGCTGTGGAGAGGCTGCACACAGGATTGCCAATCCTGCTTAGTCAGGGCTGTGGTTTACCCTGTGCCCTTGAAATCAGTGGTGACCCTTTTTTGCACCTCTTGTTCCACACAGTGCCAGTGAGCATGGCAAAACCACCACATACCCAGACTTCTTAAAATTTCTCGTACCTCAGTTAAACATAGGTTTTGTTGGACTCTGAATGGCTCAAACTCATAATTCTCAAAACCTCATAATTCTCAAAAAACAACTGAGCACTTTTTAAAACTTTGATGTAAATTCCAAGGCAACCTGGATTAAGAACTTCAGACAACATCTAACATAACTCTGGTTTTCACCCAGGGTAACAGCATGAGTCCTTTCACTTTCTATTACTGTTAACTTCAGATGCAGGTTGTCAGGTTTGGTTTTATCTGGGCTTTCAATCCTTTGTTTAGGACTTACTGTTTTATTTAGCTGGGAAGTGTCTAGAACTCTTTTCTGTGTAACTAATAAAATAATAATATGAACTGTGATTTTTTCACTGCAGGGTTTCATATTTGGCTTGTTGCTTAATGAATAATTAAGTTTTAAGCTGTGAAAACGCTTTAAAAATTAAAACAGGTGAGGGATCATGCAAACCACAAGCCATATCTACATCAGATATTTGACTAATACTTCTTTTACAGGTTTTCTTTTTTTTGTGTGTTTTTCTGGTTTATTGCATGCAAAATGTCTGAAATTTGGTCTTTCTCAACTAATCAAACTAATTCTGAGCAGTATTTCAAACAACTGCTGAGGGTGGTGTAAGTCCATAATCAGACCTTACAATTCAGGAAATGCTAGTAAGAAACTACCCTACAACAGCTTGCATGATTTTTTTGCAAGTCTTTGCTATCAGCCTGAGTTTTGCTTTGTATTGATTTAGTTTAGCATTAAGAACACTTTCCAAAGTACCACTACTCTGTAATTATTTCTTGCTTCTAAGAAATGGACTTCCATTGTCAGTGGAAATCTTCAGTAGCTGTGTCACAGTGTCTGTGGATCTACATCTGAATGTTGGACTACTGTAACCAATAACATAATTCTCCTGGAGCCAGCTGCCTTTTGGTACCCCCTAAGTTACTGATTTCATTTGGAGCTGAGAGCACCTGTCCATATTTCCTTATCTTCCTCCCAATTAGGGGTACCAACAGTTATGGCAACACTTGCCTGGCAATGTTATTCTTTCCTGGAATCTGTCACGTTACTTTTAGAGGCTGGTAGGCAACCTGATGATTTCGCAGAAGCATTTTAGGTAAAGCTTTGTACATGATAATAAAATTGGAAAGATTACCTGACGCTGATTAAGACCTGCATTTCACACTTTACTCCCAAACTAAATAACATTTTTTTCTAATATGAATTTGCCCTGATAGGTAGAAGGGAGGAAGAAACATTTGCAAGGGATAGTTAGTTTTGATACCTGTCTAGCCACTTGTCTGCTTGTAAAACTGCTTTAGAAGCTACAGTTCTGTCACTTCTTTGTGGTGGTACTAAGCATAAAATGAGTGGAGAACTCTTGGAGAACTGGAGGTTCGCTGCTCTAGTTTTACTAGATTTTCCTTTATAAATGTGTAAATATGACAGTATCCCTACTGAAGCTAGATGTGAAGAAAATGGGTAAATTAACCCTTGGCAAGAGCAATGTGACTGCACCTGGAGGAGCTGAAATGGGCCCTGTGCAGGTGTTCACAGAGCAGGCTGGGGCAGGGAGCAGTCCTGGGTCCACTGACCAGCTGCCTGCTTGGGCTCCAGCTTATCTCCTGGGCTGACAGGCTTTATTCTACCAGGCCTAACTCTCCAATTCACTGGGATGGCTGTTCCACACTTTCAGATAACATCAGCCTTTGATATTATGTTAAAGCAGAGATCAGGTTTCAGGTGTTAAAATATTCTGGGAAATGATTTCTTGGTTCCAGCAGTCCAATCACAAGTCACAGTTAAAAGGAAGAGCCACTTTAATCATCCTCCTGGGTGCTGCTGCTGAATGGACAAATCATTCTTCCTTAATTAAGAAGTGATAATATCACTTCTCAGTAATGGAGCTGAACATTACTGCCATCTAGAATGAAATTGGCTTAGGGAAAAAAAAGAATTCTCCCAGCTTTGTAGTTCTGATCCTGTTACTGTGGTGACTGGTGAATATCTTGTTTAACGGTTTTCTTGCTTCTGTATAATCTAAAATATTTAATTATTGCTTTAGTGTCAATCAATGTCACAGCTTTTGCTCTTCAACAGTTTGAAGTGAACAGAATTTTATTGTTCTTAAGTGTAACTAACAAAAAAGTTAGTAATTACTGTGACTGCAACTCCCCATAAAGGGAATTGTGAATATCCAAGGGTAGAATTTTGCTTTAAGCTGTTATTCTGTTACTTAACTCAAAGTTCCAGATTTGTGACTTTAATTCATCATCATTTAAACCAATACTACTAAATGTTCAATATATGTCATATAAAATATTAATTGGAGTTACAGATTCTCCAAATGCATGGTAATGCAAATTAGTGTTTTGGAACATTTTTGTTTAAGCTCTCTCAAATGAGAAAACCTTGAATATTTGTTTCTAAGATTGTAATAAAAAGCTTTTCCTTAACATTTGGAATTCTGTCTTAAATTCTGTAGAACATGCAAAAAGGCCATTGAAATAAGAGGAGAAGATGTATTTGACAAATAATTACAGAATTATGTCCATGCAACAGGAAAAGTAAGAGAATAACAGTCTTATAATAAGAAAGTTAAAGGTGAAAAATGCAAATTTGTTTAGCATATGTATGGAAAACTTACAAATGATCTGAACTTACAAATAAGATCTAAAACTTATGACTCTGATGCATATCCTTTTTCTTTTACAAGGATTAGGGCTTTCTTCTTTCAGTTACAGCATGGATAATTTTTTGTTTGTCCCTTTAATGTCTTGGTAATTCATCAGAAAAAGCACATAATTCATCAAAAAAGCATCATTCGATGCACAAAATATAGTCAGTGCTTTAAACAGCAGGGTGCAGAAAATACTGATCTGAGGCAGAAACAGCAAACAACCTCAGACCAATTAATACATTTGGGGGGAGGAGCTGTAGTTCTTAAGGAGAACCAAGTTGGTTAAAATAGGAAGTATGCCCAACAGAAAGAAGCAGGTTCTTTCTTCTAAGTGTTTGGGAAGGTGTGAGGTATTTCCCTCCAGTCCTTCTAACTACTTCAGACTAGTCTGAGTAAGAGGATGATTGTTTTACTTTTCCACAGAGATGCTATTATGCTGAAGTTAACAATTGAATAACCTATTCAGTGCTTCTTTTATTTTGCTTTTCTGTAGACAAAACATGGATGCACACTCCTGAAGCCTTATCAAAGCATTATATTCCCTATAATGCAAAGGTAAGAAAATATGAAGTTATTTTCTCCTCATACCTTTAGAACTCAGCACATTCTATCTTGTTTTTAACTTGAAAACTGCAGAAACCTAGATTTGCCAGATTAAATAATGAAGACAAACTTGCAAATGTTTGGTGAAAACATTCTGTTTTTAATGGCAGTTGATCCTTGTTCTGAACTGTGGTTTACTAGAAAGCAAGCTAGTGTTCCTTTTCTGCTTGATGATGTTTTTTAAATGGATGGAAATTTTGAGTGCAAAGGAATTTAACATCAGGCTGCATGTTTACAACATTATTAAAATTAATGGCACAAACTTCTTTTGAACAATATCAAAGGCAATAAGTAACAACCCTTTCTGCTGGATATATTGAAATGTCAAATATTCAGGAAATGTGGTAAAGAATACTGGCATTTTGTAAGGCCAGAAACCTTACATTTATTTTCTTATCCCAGTTACAGTGAGGTGACTTTACATAAGTAATGCTTTCATTTGTCTAATGACATGCCTTGACAGGAAATGTATCTTACCTAAATACCTTACAACCTCAAGGTTCCTAAATACTTACCTAAATACCAGCTTTGAAAATAGTTTGCTAAAAGGAGAGAATATGCAGCCATCAGCATAACTCAGAGTAAACTGAGTAATCTGCAATTACTTGCTCAAACTGAGAGTATAATTCAATAAAATTCTATTGTGGGCTGTTCTGGATGACATTCTCTTATGATTGGTATTTCTTAATATAAAAGCTCTTCTTAAAATAGTCTTAATAAAAAAATCAATGTGAAACTTCTTAATATCAAAAATTTACATTTCTTTATATATATAAAAATATTTGTTTCGCAGGCCAGGACTCGGGTTTCTACATGAATGTTCCCTGCTTTTGTATTTGCAATTTTCTTCTGCTTAGCATTGCTACACTGTGAGCAAGTGTTTGTAGTGGAAAGTGGAGTCTCGTTCTCACAGTTGCCAGGTTTTGAACGTGTTTTTATTCTGTTCTCCAACTGAATTCTTGTCCAAAGGAATTATTACCATTTAACTGAAAAGCCTTGCCAGACACCTTGGCTTTATATTGCACTTCTTGAGAGGGAGGATTGCTTGCTGTGGTGACTGTGCCATCTCTTTTAAAAGCAAGCTGAGGCTGTGAGTTTTTTAAAGCACTGAACAATGTCTGTTCATTTCTGGTCTTTGAGAGAAAAAAAGAAACTTCCTTCGTCTTTCGTGTTTCATTTTCTTGCTTAAGAGCAGATCTGGTGAGTAGGTGTCAGTGCAGCTGTGCAGAAAAAGAATTAGAATAAAGAAATAATGCTAAGATGGTGGTAACTGTAGAAACAACAGTATCAGCAGCTTCTGGAGCAGAAGAAAAGAATGGAGAATTCCAGTCTAAAGAAGTCTGCTCTCAGCCTGGTTAGGAAGACTTGGTCCAAAATGTCTTTCCACTGATTTAGGCTCATACATGCCTAAGTGTCCTCTCCACTTCTGCTCATTTGTTGTTATTCTAGGGCCTCCTCCATCTTTGTGCTGCTGGCCTCTGAGATCTGTCAGAACGCTTGCAGGAAACTGAAATTTTAATGCCACATATGTTGGATTTTGGTGGTTTTTTGGTTTTTTTTGTTTTTTTTTTTTTTTAAGAAAGTTAACCCATTTTTTTTTTTCATCTGAATCTCAGTAGAAAATTCTTATTTAGAACTATCAGTTATTTGGTTCAAAGCAAGCAAAAAATTGCTCTGCTTTGTAACTGGAGTGTAAAGGGTATGGGATTCCCTACCCTGTTTATTTATTGACACCTGGAATGAATTTGTACAGCTTTTATGAAGTTAGCTGCCATATGCAGGCATAAGATTAATAAATCTAGATGAGATTTCCACAGTTCTCAAGTATCATTCTCATAAAGTTTTGCAGTATTTTTCACTTTAAGAGGAAAGTATGTGTCTATCAGTATCTTATTTGGGGTTTGCAGCATTTTGGTTTTTAAGTGAAATGTCTTGTTGATTTCATAACTTGTAACTATGTGTTGAAATAATGATTAAAAGCTTCAGAAGACCATCATAACAGAAGTATTGAACAAGACTCATTGATTTTTTTTGCCCAAATTGTTCCAATTCTCTAACATTGTTTGTGTATTTTCCATTTTTGTTGGGAAGATAACACTTGCTCTGATTTATTTCAAAAAGTAATCATGTGAGTGAAGAATGACATGTTGAGAAAATCAAATCAGTTTGATGGAAAGTAATATCAGAGATGTTATTTGTCCATGAGCAAGTGAACTGTATTTTACTCCATAGTTTTTTTGGATGCAGATGATTGTGGATGGAAAAGTGGTTTCTGTTCTTTATAAGAGACAAAAATAATTTCTCTGACACTAATCTGAGATGATCAGAGCATGGGGAGAGCTTTCTGGGAAAGATGAGATTGTGTTGATTCCTGAAATGGCTTGTTGATAAAATGCAGTTCATGAGTTGATGGTCATTAAATAAAAAATCCTAGCAATGTTACCTGCAAATTAAAAAAAACCTCTGCAATATTGACAGCTGGCCTTTTTCCTCTACTAGTTGGAGAGGACTTTTTAACAGAGAATTGGTAATGTTGTGTTATCTTTTAGAACATGCACCCTCGGGATGATGTATGGCTGTAATCCTCTTTGCAAGAAAACATGAGATGAGTTGTGTCTTCTGGAAGTAAAATCCAGGAGCAATGAGCCTCCTAAAGAAGCCCTATATAAAGTATCTTGGATTTCTCTCTTTTCCAACACACCCACTCCTACTTCACTGTTTTGAAATTTGCTGGTTTTGGCATGGTTTGCACTGTGTAAACCAATGAGGATTTGGGCTTTGAGGTTTTTTTATGGGGGGGAGGGGACAGAGGTGTTGATTTTTCCCTTTCTGGTTTCATTCTGTTTGCTTTTGTTCTGTCATTGTCTTCTTTTTTTCGTTGTAGTGTTTTCTCTTGGGTCTTTTTTTTCTTATCTTACTGATGTCTTGGTCTACCAGAAGGCACTGATAAGATTCCTCACAATTCAGCATGCTCTGTACATGCACCCTTGGTTTAGTGAAGCCAGAATTTTGACATCAGTTTGGGGTCCTATTTTTTCTTTTAACTGTGTCACTGCAAATGACAGCATATGGGTAAATTTTTTTCCCCTCAAAAAGATAATTTAGAATTTTTATAATACAGTATCAAATATAGACTCATTTTGATGTGGTGGAATGACAGTTTTAATATCGCCCAGATATAAAATTCTAACTTCTCCTCTGTGTCAACTTTTTCTGTAATGGTTCTTAATTAAGAAGAGATGTTTGTGTTATTTTCTGTACTGCAAAGAAAAAGCTCTCTTTTGCCTTTAAGGTAATTCTCTTGGTTTGAGGCCAGCTTCCTTTATGCAAAACAGAAGTGATCAAAGTGTGACTTTATAAGGGAATAAAACTGCAGCTTTTAAAAAAGAGCTGGTGGTTGTCACCACCTGAGTGGTGCCTTTGTGCCCATCACAAGCTGCCCCAACAAGGATGTTTACTATATGTCTGCAGCAATTGTCTCTCTAATCCCCTTTAGAGTCACTGGCTTGTTTTTTGGCTGATATCAAACTTCCACAGGCACAGCTTTCCAGGGTTGTGCTTTGCCAGCCTGGTGTTTATGTTGGCAGCTGGCAAGGCAGGGGTCAGTGGCTCTGACCTTGCACCAGGCAGAAGGGGCTGCTCTTTGCCATGGCACGTTAAACCCTTGGGAGGATGTTTCACCAAGAGAGGTCAGGGCTCCCCAGGGCTCACACAGCCACTGATGCCTGCTTCACACTCACTTGCCAAATTTTTGTATTTTCAGATTTGAGTCTTGATGTAGTAGTTTCAGTTTGAAAGCTTAGAGTTAAATGAACAGTGCAAAAAAAGGAATTTAGTAATGGTCACTCTTCATGATTGGAAAGTAGTTTCCAACCCAAATGATTCTGTGAGTCTCTAATAAACGACCTCCCTTGGCAGTACCTAAAACTATTAGTCTTCACTGTAGGACGAGAAACAGTTTATTTAGGTTTTTCAACTATATGCTATTTCTTATTCCATGTATTTTTTATCACCAGTTAATACTCTTGTGGAGCAGGCATTTTGGACAAGGGTCATAGATCAAATGATGTCAGTATGGTAGCAGGGCTCTAGGTGCAGTTCTGTCCTTTGAATATCTGCATTTTTCTGTCATTAGTGCACAGTATTATCAAAGCCACATTTTTGTGACATAAACTGCACTTCTACTATATTTTTTTTGCTATTGCTATAGAAATTCTCTTTTTATATCCAGTCAACATTTCAGCAGAATGATCATGACTGTCATTAAAAATAATGAAAAAATGTCAAATGGCAAATTGTATGTAGCTTTCCCAAGTCAGCAAAGTTACAAGGCACACTAATAAAAAGTATATTTAAGATATGTGGTGCAGTTGGATATAGCAAGATATTTCAAACAGAGCACAAAAATGTTCAAAATTGGAAACTGCTGCAGTAGAAGAGAAAATGCAAGAAGTAATGAGTTTTCCCACTTCAAGTTTATTATAATTAGAATTAATAACTTAGTACCAATTAACTTTCATTAGAGTACCAAAATGTCTTGTATGTGATCATAATTAATTTAGTGTTTAAGCATAAGAAAAATTAGTATTGTGAGAATACCCAAATGGAATATGAAAGCGGAAAATTATAATTTTACAAGGGAATGCAAATTTGAACGTCTTAGTTATTTCTGATATATTGCAGTCATTAAATTTGGGGCTCATTATACCAAAAATGAATAAACATGGAAATGAAAAATAAAGTATTCAAAGTCTTCAACAGGTACTCTCAACAGATTTGGTTTTATTGTTCTTACTCTCCAGAAGAGGATCTCCTTCAAGAAATGAATCAAATTTATGAGCAACTCCATTATTTCTTCCTTAAAGTCCATTTGTGCCTAGTAATGCAAGGCAGTTTAGTTCCTTTTTCAGGAAAAGGAGCCAATAGGGCCTGTGTGTTTCAGTGAAATATTT